CTTATTGGCCGTTTTTATTTAATACAGGTCAGGTGACCCTTTTTGGGTTTAACAGGACGCCGAGTCAACGAACGGCTGGGTGTCAGAACCTTCCTGAAGCGTCCCGCTCAATGGAGGACGCTCTGTCCCCCTCCCTGAACTCATTATTCAATTTCACTGATTTCACAGCCACACACAGCATTCCCCGTTTATGGACGACAGAGCTGGGACATCGAGGACACTCCGACAGTATCATGGATGTATCTCTCCTGTGTGGACCAGTGTTTTTGATGTTATTTATGGGGAACATAATTGAAATTGGAGACTCTGTATTGTTTGTTCTAAGATAAAAGATTATTCTGTCGTCTTTGTGACTTTAAGCCTGTTTTCAACTGTTTTCTTTCCTTTACACGGTTTCTGCACAAACGTCTTGTTGTGTGCATTTATTGATTATTGACCATTGGCTCCAGTTTAAAATAGCCCAATATCCTAATACCTCATTTGTATTAACTCATTAGTGATTCATCCTTGTTCCAAATGTCATGCTGAAGCTAACAGCACGTCGCAGCAGGTCAGCTGATCGCCGCCTGCACACAGAAAATTCTGCTGGTAAAACAAATAAGTTCGATTATAAGATAAGATAACTCTTTATTGTCATTGCACAGTCATACATAGTACAATAGTACAATGAAATTGGAAAATTATTTATTTTATTATTTCTAATTCTCAGAATCAGCTGACGTGTTTCACCTTCAGACCGTTCCAGAGTCAGAGGCCTCTGGGATGAGGTCTGCCTCAAAGCCGGTGGCGAGGGCGTAGATTTGGTTTTGGCGTTGGTGGGGACCGAACCCTGTTTCTTATTTTCCCCTTTTTGTCTTTGCTTCTTGATAAAAGGAGAAACATACTTGCCTACATATGTTATTCTACCTGCTTTTAAACCATTTAAAATCACAATTCATAGTTTTACATGTGAATTATATAAAGTTAAATTACTATTAAACAAATGACTGACTAAGTATTTCAGGCTTTAGTTTATTTCAGTCATATTCCATATAAATCAGGTATCATACAAACATAAAAATAGCTTCAAATAGAGTCATGACAACAAAAGACTTTAAGGACTTAACAACATTACTTCAGTTACACCAACATCTCTGACACATCAGCACTAAGGCAACACTGAATGACCTGCTGGTTTTGTCCATAAACTACTCGTCTAAGACGACCACAGAGTCAAAGATCTCTCAGCAACATCTCAGGCTCTGTTGCTCCGATCAGATCAGTGAGCTGGATCTTTTATTCTAAACATGAACTGTTACAGCAACAGACATGGACACAACAACTCAATGTCCAAACACAGGCTGCTCCTCTCACTAACTGAGATA